CCTCCGGCCCCAGTCCAGCCCCAGTTCGGCCCCAGTCCCTCCCCTGTTCAGCTCCAGACCGGCCCCAGTGTAACCCTGCAGGTGTTGTACCAGTGCTAACTGTGTGCTCTGCTGCAGGTTTTCACCCTGCTGTGCTTCGCAGACTGGATGGTCCACTGCATGTGGAGGAACGGGAAGGACCCCGACAGCTTCTCCATCCCTTACCTCACCGCCCTGGGGGACCTGCTGGGCACGGCCCTGCTCGCGCTCAGCTTCCACTTCCTCTGGCTAATCGGCGATCAGGACAGCGACGTGGGCGACTGAGCGGCGGCCTGGGCCCCGGGACGCCGCTGCTGCTGTCCGCGGGCCAGAGGAGACGCCGCCTCCGACAGCAGGCGGGACAACGCCTGCACTGCGGGGTCAAGTAACGCAAGGTCACAGGCGGAGGAGCGTGTCCTCTCCCAGACCACTGCCCTGTTCAAACGAGAGAGCCATGCAGCGAACTTCTGAGCGTGCCGCTGCTGCAGACAGGGAAGTGGGTCCGTTCTGCCTTGGAGCTCTGTGCTGCGGACCGAGTGTCCGACACTGAGCGAGCGTCTACATTCGCAAGCAACTACGAGCCTTTCAAATGTGGAGCAGTCTTGTCCAAAGAGTCACGGGCTCCATTTCCCAGTCTTCTCCTCTCCGTGTCCTGCATTCAAATCTTCGGTGAGGGCTGCACAGTCCGATCTCTTCATCCACAAGCCCGCTAGCTGAGCCTACGACAGGGCTTTCAGGCTTCTGAGTCTCAGAACATTTAAAGCTACTAATAAGGAGTGTTTTTCTCACTGGAGTTTTTGTCACGCATTGGAAACAGATGGAACTGGTCTTGCACCAGAGGAAAGAAAGAACTTTAAAAGTTGCCAAATGATTTTGGATGGCAGTAATGAATTTATGCAAACTCTCATTTCCTATCATTGCCTTTTCTGTGCTGTGGGAAAAAAAATCCCACAGAAAGTGAGTTCGGCTGGAGCTCTGCCAGCAGTCAAGTGCCAACAGGGGGCAGTAATGGGTCCGGGCCGCAGTGGGGTGGGACTTGCTTAGTGCAGGAGTGCAGCTGGACTCCCGGGCATGTGGCAATGGCACGGCCATAAAGAGAAGGGCCTGCTGCACAGCTAGCTCCTCGTGGGTCCTGTCAGTCATGTCTTCAGCAGGGATGCTATGTGACCCCATGATTTTTTGTGCTGGTGAGAGCTTTGGTCTTCATCCAGAGTCTGTCAGCTGCAGGGCTCCGGCTCATTGATCGGAGATGCCTGCTGTCTGTGTCCCAGTCCATGCCTCCTGTCCAGCCCACAGAGCTGCAAGTTAGTGACCTCGTCCCACTGGTGGGCATCCTCTCCTGTGTCTCCCTTCCCCGCTCACAGCCCTGAGCACTGAGGACACCCACCAGGCCCTCCGGCCACAACTGGTCGCTGGTGCTGCCCTGGAGTCGGGCCCATCCCTCGCAGTACCACTGGAAGAGGGTTCAGAACCATCTCAGTGGGTTTTTCTGCTGTCATGGTGCAATGTCACCTGAGGTCCAGAGGAGCAGAACTTACTGCACACTGTAGGTCTCTCCTTCCTCAGCTATGTGTTCCTTAAGTATGTAAAAGCTGGTGTTGAGTGTTTCATTGTTACTAGTTGGCTTCCTGTGCTCTCTCGCTCTAAAATGGTGGGTTTTCGTTTTCTTAAGAGAAGTGTTTGTACCCAGTCCAAATTTAAGCAGCACCTTAAACTGTTTTCTTGGTACTTTCCAAGAGCCGTGATCAGGTTCTGTTAGCGGTATTAAAATGTCTCATGAGGATTCTGGCTCTTGATTCTGTCCCGCAGTAGCTTGTATGAGCTGCTGGTAATTGGAAACAGCTGTGTGCAGGTTCTAATGAAGTAACTGACACCCTTTCACCCTTGAAATACTGCTGCTCTTGACCAGGACCCTTGCCAGCATTCCAGCAGATGAAAAGCCCTGTAAGAGGTGTCTCTCCAGAATTATACAGCGTGGGTCCTGGAACAAATCAGACCTTCCCTCTGCACTGTTGCTAGCGGACACAGTTTCATATCAAAACCATAAAAAAGCACCATCTGTGTGCAGATAAGGTTTTTCATGTTCAGTGGTTCTCTGAACGCGGCAAAGAATTTGGCTGTGAGTCTTGTCCAGTGACCCACACTCCCAGTATGATGGCTCCTCTGATGCCAGCTCTGAGTCATGGTCTCAGTGAAGCTGTAGAGTGTCCTGAGAGTGAGGTGCCACGATCAGGGAATCCTCCCTGCAGTGTTAGTACTGGCTCAGCATTTCTTAGGATCACCATTCCAGTCGCATGGTTAATTTATTTTTATTTACAAAATCCAAATCTAGAAATGAACTCCATCCATTTTCTAACCAGTTTACCCAATTTGGGGTGGCCGGGATGCTGGCAAGCAATGGGTGCAAGTGAGACAAAGTCCCGCAATGTAATTCTTCCCCAGGCTCACAAACCTGTCATTTTCAGTTCCACTTGGGCCCCTTCTGATTTGTCTGAAGAGAGTAACGTATTCAAGGAGTTGCAGCATGTAGCGGTCAGTAAATTACCAATCGTCTCCACTTATTCAGCCCACAAAACCATCTGGTTTCACTAACATGAAGAAAGTGTCTGTGCATTGCAGCCAGATGGCAACTAGCTGACCAGCATTCAGAGTGGGTTTATTTAGTGTGGGCTCTGCTCTTGATTCCTCATTGAGACCTAACCAACAGGTCTGATGCGAAACCCATGTGGACACAAGAGCTAAGGTATTAATTCACTAAGAATTAAACATTAAGAATATCCTATTCACAGTCTCCAAAATGTGTTCCTGCAGTTCTGTCCTTTTAAAGAAAGCATACAGTATGGCAGTGTTCTCTCCAACCCCGTGTGTTTTAATCAAAGCTTTAGTAACAACAAGATGATGAATAACAGGCCTCACAGTTAATATCTGATGCCGGTATGCTTCATTTATTTTGTCTGGTATTCTAATACAGTTACCTGCAGACTCAGCTTTTTACTGTCTGATCAAGCAGATCTCATTTGTAAGGACTGATCTCCAGATATTTAAGGGCCCTGTATATCTGGCACTCAGCCAGAGTACATAACAGCGTACCTGTGCTTGTGTTTTCAGCGTTTCAGCCGAGTGCAGTTTGAAGAATAGATCATCTGGAGTCTTTCTTGCATTTGACTGGAAAATTAGCTTCTGTGGGTATTCATTTGACATTTCATTCTCCTGTTAGAATTTGTATCCCCTGTTTGAACTCCTAGTCTGAAAGCCAGTTTGGGCTTCAAAGCTTTCAGAGATCGTTTTTTCTTCATCTTTATCTTTTGACATTTGAAAGATGTCTGGATCGCCTGCTGGGCTGCATCCCTCTGGGGTGAGGGCTGGGAAGTATAGTTTCTGGCTGTAAAGGGTGTTTAATCCTGGTGATCCTTGTAACATTTCAAGAACAGCGTTGAGCTTCTCATCCAGGTGGAGGTCTTGATACACAGTTGTGCTTCCCTTTGTTTCATCAGATTACTGTCTCCTGTCTGTTTGTACTGGAATGGTCAGTGCGACAAGTCGCATACTAACTGAATATCAAGCACAACACATAAACAGGGAAGTACAGAGAAGTTATATAAAGGAAGCCATGCTGTGTAAAAGGAAACTGCTGTGTAAAATGTTTTATCAATACTTACTCTGTAATTATATGTGTGTTAATGAATACACATTGATCTAACACATTGTTGAACCTTTTGCAGCCAAGTTTACTTTGAATGTTTAAAGATGTGGTATCCTACAGTGATATCATTTTTTTGCGGATGGGTTCTGTTGCTCATTATCAAACCTGGCCCTTCCAGAACGAAACACGTATAGCAGCACAGTGCCACATGGTTTTGTAAGAGCACTTTATTCACTCTAGAGTTAGACACCGCTGTGTGTAAATGACGATGTTGAAAATGTTACCTCTCACTTTGCAGTAAATTTGAAAAAATATTCGTAATGACAAGAAATATGTAATTAATGGGATGTTAATTAAGGGATGTTTTTGCTTCTTTTCAGTAATGAATGTCAGACAGAGGAGAGATGGCTCTCTGAGCGACTCAGTATGTTTTATTTTATCTTCAGAGTTGGTAGTTTAATTTTCTTTTGATTAAGACTTATTGACTTTTTCAAAGCATTATTTGAGATTAAAGTATTTAAGGATGTAATAAAAACAGGTAATGACTGAATGCCGTGTCACTTTTCCTGCGGTGTCTTCAGCTCTTGTGCACGTCTCTCAGAAGGCTCGGATTGAATTTATGAGCGTTATGAGATCAGTCTGTCCTGTTTCCAACAGCAAACTGTTAAGCAGCTGAACCAAAGAAAACATTTTTGCTTGCCAATGTAGCTATTCAGTTGGGCTCTTTCCTAATAAAATACCTTAATCCAATCAGAAATAACTGAGACATTTCCTCAGATAAGTTGTACACAGTAAAGTTATTTTATATTTGAAAATTGTTTTAAACATTATATGTTCATGTGTTCACTTTAGATTCACTGTGTGCTTTTTAGTTCTACAGCTCTGGAAGCATGTCCACCCTTTGGATGAGATGTCAGCGCACAGTTTAACTATTTGGCTGTTAAAGGTCTCATGGCACTTTTTCCCGGAGTTGGGATGTTAATCCTGGTGTCCTGGAACAATGTCCACTCTGGCTTTTTACATTTTGGCCTTAAGATTCCCCCTTGCCTGCGGCGCGGAGGCGTGGTAAAACACTGCATTGCCTCATTCTCCCCCGTGTGCAGACACAGGGTTCGGGGCATAAAGACATGATCCAACACATAAAAAACTCACAGTGGACCATTCCAAGACTGGGCTGGTATAACAACAAGGTATTGGCCATCGTTTAAAAAAACAAGACCTTATCTCATTGTTCATGACACTAGGGGTGTGCCCATGGTATTCTGTCTGAACTCCACTCTGGTCTCACTAAAATTCCTCCATAATTCACCCAGTGTGGCAGTTTTTCTCTTTTCCCACAATCTGTATGCAGAATGGCTGCTGTGTGTCTCCTAGGAGGGGCTGCTGGTGCAGAATGGCCACTGTGTGTCTCCCAGGTGGGGCTGCTGGTGCAGAATGGCCCCTGTGTGTCTCCCAGGAGGGGCTGCTGGTGCAGAATGGCCGCTGTGTGTCTCCCAGGAGGGGCTGCTGGTGCAGAATGGTCCCTGTGTGTCTCCCAGGAGGGGCTGCTGGTGCAGAATGGCCCCTGTGTGTCTCCCAGACATGAGAGACTGTCTTTGACTGGGTGGAAGATGTAGAAAGTCTTGAAGACCCGCCGTCCATGAGCGATCCACAAGCAGCTGGAGAGAACCTGGGCAACTCTACCAAGAAGAAAGGTTGCACCAAACGCGCCTGCAGAGCTGGTAGAGACGCAAAAAGACGTGTGGCTACAATCTTCTGCCAAAGGTTTTGCCAGCCTACTGTAGGTGCGCAGTCAGAATGCTTACACAATCAACAGGTCAGATTTTCTCTTTAGTTTCTGCTGACATTAACTAACTTTTCTTACCCTTAGAAGTCTACAGTTGGAGCATTCAGGCTTTGAATAAAATATTAAGATTAGAAAAAAATAATATTTAAATGGTGCCCCATTGTGTGAAATTTCAATAATCTTGTAATTTCTGACAATGGGACACCTTAGGAAAGGTCTGAACACTTTTGTTCACTGTATTTGAGTGCTTTGGGATTTTTAAGGAGTAAAATGCTATTTTCAGGCTGGGTTATTATTATAAACTTTCACTTGACATCTTAAGGCACAGGTACTGTACATAACTACCCATCGTCTTAATGGCTAGTAACCCAGATCGTGACCCAGGTCCAGATTTGAAACTAGGGCTGCACCCTCAACAATCTGAAGTTCAAGTAAGGAGCTGCGTCAGCATGTGTAAGCTGCAAAGGAGCAGGTAAAGCTTTATTACCCGCTGAAAAAAGAAGAAAAGAAACACATTTCGGCTTCAACAATGTTAGGATATCAAGTTAAAAGCACAGAATTTGAGATCGAGGGATGGAAGGCGTCATTCAGAATAGTGCGTCTGTCTCAAGACCTCTCCAATTCTTTCACGGTCTCCTGGGCTCAGACCATGGTAGAACTAGTCCACAACCGAAAAGGAGACTTAAAAAGGGTCCTTATTTGTTTACGAGACAGCAGGCAAGGGATGGAACAGTTGGAGCAAGCAATAACTTTCCCCCCAAAATCTTGAACAGCAGTTGGCACACCTTCCTCCTGGAGTCCTACAGACGCCCTCCCTCAGCAGAGCTCGGCCTCTGGCTCCACCCCTGCGACCTCCCACTGCTGCCCTAAAGGCACCCCTGCTCTTTTACACCATACCTCACATTATTCACACACAAAAATGAAGTGTTTCTGTATTTTAGATTTCCCAAAATCATTAAACTGCGGGTCTTGCTGAGGAGGATGGCCCCTCCAGGCCACAAGAGGGCGCTGTGCAAACAGGCCAGCGGCCATCCAGTGATTTCCTAGAAACCATTCTGCCCTGACTCTGGGTGTGGTTTTGATACTTATACCAGGTGAGGGAGACAAAGGAGTAGCTACAGTTCATTAACATTAACACATATTTACACCGCACTGTTTACAAATTCTGCTTTGTCTTCTTCCATTCTGTTTTTTTCTGGCCTGTGATACTGTGAACAGAAAAGGTAAGTCCCAAGTCTTTGGTTTGTTTTTTTACAGGCCTTCAACAAGCACTGCAGGCCAATGGGATGGCTTCCATCATGGTGTGCGGTGTTTGTCACCGTGCTATAGAAAATACACTGCTGCTCTGGACTCAGGCCAGAGAGGAGCAACCAGGGGCTGAGAGGACCGTGCTACACTGACCACTGAAGAAACTGAACCTGTTTAGTAGTGAACAAAAGAGGGATTACAAATTCCTCCTAAGCACTGACAAAGTCAAACAGGCTGCATCACAGCCCAGAGGACACAAGTGGAAACCACTTGCTTTCAGTGCACAACGACACGCCCCAGCAGGGTGATAGAAATGTCACAGGTTGAGAGCGTATGAAGGCTTTCTCTTGCATGCAGCCTCATTGGCCCATATTACTTCATTGGTAGCAACTCAACTCAAATCAAAATCAAAATCAAATCAAAGTTTATTCATCAAATGCACGACAATACGGCATGCAGCAGTAGTTGCTGGCAATGAAATGTCTGTGACTAACCCAGATTCCAGACATTCACGACTCTTTTTTGTGTTTGTAAAGAGGTGTTGTGTTGTGTCACTCTTGGTCGTGTTTGTAAAGAGGTGTTGTTGTGTTTGTAAAGAAGTGTTGTTGTGTCACTCTGTCATGTTATAAAGAAGTGTCGTGTCACTCTTTGTCGTGTTTGTAAAGAGGTGTTGTGTTGTGTCACTCTGTTTGTAAAGAGGTGTTGTTGTGTCACTCTGTCGTGTTTGTAAAGAAGTTTTTCCGAATCTCCATCCTAAATGATTTTTCTTTTAGATTCCAGTTATGACCCCTAGGTGTTTCACTACTGAGTGTGAATTACTTGTCTAAGGATTAGTCCTGTCTATATCCCTCTTAATCTCCTTTGTTGTACACTGAATAGATTAAGATCTCTTAATCTGTTTGCATATGACGATCTGACAGCAAGACTCATCATGCTCTTGGCTCTTTGAACTGTTCCTAAGGCTGTAATATTATTTCTGTGGCATGATGACTAAGACTGAACTCTGTATTCAGAGGCGATCTTTGCACTGCTTCGTCCTTCTTAATCCCCTGTTGTCTCTTAAACTGTCCTCTAGCCTTTGCTTTTGTAGTGCTGAAAAAATGCTTCATGTTATTTTCTGCCGCTGTAGCGATATTTTCTTATTTCTCCCTCTTGGCGCCTGAAGCCTGGTAAAATCTTTTTCTGTTTTTGAAAGGGCTCATTGTGCAGTGTGTGTGCAGTACCATCTTCATTTGGATTTTCTTAATTTTTCCCTTTAATTTCCTATTTAGCCCATGTCTGGCTCACCTTGGACTTGTTTAAGAAATGGCAAACAAATTCATTCTTAAAGTATGACCTTCAAAATCCTTCTTCTCTTGACTCTGAATCCATCTGTTCCCAGTTCACCGATCGGCAGCTCTGCCTCATGTTTGCTTTTCTAAAATAATAAACCCTAATTTAAGACTCAGGCTTCAGAGATTTAAAGTATACATCAACAGTTACCATTTTGTGGTCACCGTTTCCCAGTGGCTGTATCACGTCTATTGCCTTAATTGTAGCCTTGTTTGAAAAGATTAGGTCAATGAGAGCATCTTTTCTAGTAGGTTCCTGTACAGTGTGAGCTAGGCTCCTATCATTAACCATTTCCACAAATTTCAAGTGCTGTATTCCCCTTCACAGTAAAAAAAAAACCTTAATAATGAACTGATAAAAACAAAATTAGTTTTGAAACAATACTGCAAATGTTCACCTCAATTGAACATTTTAAAATACAAATTGTTATACAGACGTTAAGTCCAGTAACTGGTTAAACTCGCGCCCCAAACCAAGATCCTGTCAGGATACTGGTATCACCTTAATAAAAGCAGTTGGCAGAGATCCTGCGTGTTTTTTCCTGTGCCTCAGCGCACCGTGAGGTAGGCCAGATGGTGACTGTTTACATGTCCTGCAGTGTCCACTATGGCCAGAAAGAGCAAACAGAGCCAGGACTGAGCCTCTTGGACAGTCATATTTTTTAACACTCTCTTGCTAAAGCATGTGGACAAACAGAAGGAAATTCCTGTGTCTCAAGCAAAGATTTGTGTTGATGGATGAGAGGAGACCTTTTACAATGTTCTGGGAAAATTTCTAAACACGCCTGCAGAAGTTTAAAGATGTCACATGATTACAGGTCAGCCGCTTGACCTTTGATCCCTGACTGCGTAAGGAACACAAGGGACAAGCTTTCCCCTTATCCTCTGTGGACATTCTCTCTGTTCATTAGTTTTTCTTTTTTTATTTAAAATGATAAAATTCAGCCATGCTCCTTTTCTCATTCAGCCTTGTTTTCTTGTCTAAGAAATTGGTGTATTGGGGGTTCTCTGAAAATCCTTCTTTTTGGGCAGGAAAGACGTAGTTAAGTGGATGTAGAGATTCTCAATAAATCTGAGCCTCATATCCATTTGACTGTGTTCAGGAACAGACAGGACCGAGCTTTTTGGGGTGGAATCATCCCAGCTGTTCGACAGGGGACGTCCAGTGGCCTTACTGTTAAACCT